ACTAAAACAGCCTGTCTGAAGAAGGACAAACAAAGAATGAGAAAATCAGACAAGCAGGCAACCGATAAGGAGAAGAAGCTGCAAGGGATAAAGCTCCTGCAAACTCAACGGGAAGAGGCTCTTAAAGAAGGTGTTTCATATGAGGCAGGAGCATTCTGACACTCTAAACACACAAGTAAACATAGATACTGTTAAGTTTTAACACATCCAATGATTTTCAGTAATTATATGACTGAAATATTGTTTTGATACTAGAACAAGAACTTTAAATGCCATTTTCTTAAGATCGATATTTTTACCGGTCAGGAAAAGATATCTCAAGAAGGATTCAACCAATTTTTATGAAATTTTCGCTGATTATAGATCTTAATAAGTTTTGTGATTTGAGTTGATTACTTTTTTCATAATCGCCGTAGCAAATTTGTTCAATTTCAGGAGAAAAATGTTCTCAACTCAAATCAGCAACTAGTATATGAATGCAAGTTTGATGTATAAAATTATAAAATTGAATGCATTTTGCAAGCTCAATCTTTTCCAGACTGCGGCCTGGTATAATATATCAATAAACAGCACAGAGCCACCTTAATATTAGATTTCAACATCATGAACAATTCTTTTTGGAATCTTCAGGTTCTAAGCTTTCTGGCAATATATAGTTTGTGGGGGGTTTAACTAAACCTTATCCAAGGGAAGCATTTTCCACGCTAGACATAAACTCTGGTTAACTCCCACCTTAAAGTGTTAATCTACCCCTGTGCAACTGCAAACTTTTGCACAACCTGTTGGTTAATCTCAGCAATACACACTTTTGACAATTATGTAATTTGTCCTGGGAGTCAATCACCTTGCATGATTTACTAATGAGAGCGAGGCTCCAAGACAATTGTGGCATAATTATCGAAAGGGTGTATTATGCTAAATATGGCTTAATATGGGGGGGGGACTTTGTACTTGCACAAGGTAGGTAAATCTCCATACCAAGATTTGCCACCATATAAACTTCTGGAGTTGAATTTTAGTAAACATTGTGTCAAATTATATGTATGACACCCTAAAGCATTTTCTTGCCCTGCCCAACCCCCAAGTCTTTGGGTGACCCAATCAATTGTGAAATCTTGTGAAATATTCTCTAAATCATGGAGCGGGGCTTTGGCTCCCATAAGTGAGGGGCTCACAATAATAAAATGTTACTTTAATCCCCATATCACAAGCCCCCATGAGAATTGAATAAATAAGAAATAAATTTCATGAACTATTATTGCTCTGATCAGCCAACATGTTGTGCAACAAACAGGGGTAGTTTTTAACCCATCAGGCAGAGCGCCAATGGGAAAGCTCTGGATCTTAATGGGGTACAATTAAAGTAGCTTACTAATCCACCCCTGATTTACACAACATGTTGTTGCCCAGTGGTCACCACACAGAGCTTCTCAGACTTGACCACCAAAAATTTATATGGTCTATCAAATTAATAATTTCTAAATATTAATAGAATGTGTTTCTGTTCCATGGTGAAAAACATAATATTGTAAAATACTTTACTTCAATCAAAAGGTATGGTAGGGGGGCAAAGGTTTACTAGTGCAGAGCAAACTCGAATCATTCTGTCAATGAGAGGAACAGATTCTCCTTTTCTACAGATAAGGTAATCAGTTGGCAAAGTTTGTTGAAGAATGGTATATTTCTGTCTCAGGAGACCAATAATTCTTTCAACATGTATCTGGACAGTAGCAATCTTTCTTGTCTGTTCCACATCAGCAGGATCAAATTGGTCCTTTCCCTTTGTGAATGCCGGAATGTTCAATTTGGCTTGGTGAAACTTAACACTTTCATCGACAGTTAAACCCCTATCTGCAAGAACCAAATCACCTGGTAGAAGGTTGTCCAGAAAGCCACAGTTCTCAGTCAAAAATTTATCTGAAGTCCTCCCCCCCCAAGCTTCACTGACAAAGCAAATCGTACCTTGTGGTGTAATTCCAATTAACACTTTAACAGTGTTATGATGCTTGTAACTGGAAAAAGTCTGTGCTCTTGCAAGAAGATTAGTTGGCCTATCAATAAAAATTTCAAAGCAATCAATGATTACTGTAGTTTTATGTCCAAATGAGTCTAAGAAACATCTAGGCATGCATGGTTGCGTGCAATTCACCACGATCTGGCCATTTAACAAGAGGACCCAAGCGAATATCCATGACAGTCAGCCATGTAAACAAAATTCGAGAAACCATTGATGAGAAAATTTTTAAACGATATGCCAGGTCGAGGTGAGGTACAGCAAGTCTCAATTTTACTAAAACCATGGCAAATTCTTGAAACGTGGATAATACTTTAGGACGTCTGTCGGCTTGAGGTTCAACAAAAGAGAAGACTTTCTGTAAAATTTCGAAGGAATGTAAACCAGTGTAAAATTTTACTTTTTCGTCGTTGCCAGCGAAAAAACCTTCATCAAAGTCAGCAGAACATGGTTTACTCTGAAAGTAAGACTCAGGTTGAAGCATAGAATTATGAGACTCCTTTGTCTGAATGCAAACTGTTGTGGTTCAAACTTCTGTTTGTGTCATGGCGTTTCTCAAGTTGTCTGGCAAATTTTCTGCAATGTCTTCGATATCGGCCATTTCAGCGTCCATAGTCATATGATCAAATAAACATTTAACAACCGTGCCAGGTTCGTTTACTCTTTGTAACTTGCCTTTGACCATTTCTTCCGCATTCTCATGCATGCGTTTCCTTCGTTCAGCGACTCTCTTAGCTTTATCCTGACTTCGTTGCAGCGACGCTTTGTTTATGTTTGATTTTTGGTGTCCCTTGTTAAGAGTAGGCACCCAGTCAACATTAAACTTATCCCACAAAGGAGCTGCCTTTCCAGAATGAAAATGTTCACCACAAACCCGATCATTTTGTATTTTTTTGTCTGTTATGTCTTGTCGACTTATGGCCGACAGCCATTTTCACCTGCGTTCGGTTGACTAAATCTCCATTTCCTCGCCTTGATTTTTAATAATTTTGGGCACACGGCAGAAAGAAAGATTTTTACGTTTTATTTGTCATTTGAACAGTTTAAAACTGGACAAAAAGCCGGCATGTTGAGTAATATTTCGAACAGATTTGACACACAATAAGTAAACACTAGTAAATTCCTCGCATATGATGCAATATTACTCCACCAACATGGCGGACGCTAAATTATGGTGATGTCACAGCGGCTTGCGTGAAAACACACTATATACATAAAAGATAAAATTATGATCAAATTGGTTTTATAGATAAGGCCTGTGGACTAGAAAATATTTCTGGATTGGTGCAGTTTTGGACAAGTTATCCATCACTCCCTTTTATTTCGAAAAAAATGGTGGCGTATTTGGAAGATACCCCCCACTAAGTTGCTACCAGAAGCCAATACATGCCCAATGATTCTGTCAATTCCGGTTATTCATGAAAGCTACAATAGTTTTAAAAGCATTTTTAGACAAAGCCATTGCTATGGCTAAAATAGGTTTTGGTAAAATGTAGTCTAATGCTGAATCCTTAAGTTAATAATACTTTTAATAATACTAACTATAAAGGACAGCTTCACATGCCATATTACAGGACATTTTGATTGCCATCATATATATGTTGTGTTATTTGTTTATAGCCTAAACACATGTAGTGAACATTGTTTGGGCCTGTAGTTTTATTGGTCAAACTCTATTGGCCATTACTAATGTTCTGATTTAGTAAGTAATCTTTATCTAGTGACAATGCTCTCTCGCGTGCCTTATTTTATTTTAATTGCCATGCCATGCCATGCCATGCCATGAAGTTTTGTTGATCAGAAGATTAAGAGGAATACTGTAGGTTAAAATCAGTTACTGGTATCTAGTAAGAGCACTGTTGCCATGTATATATTTATGCCATGGTTACCATCATCAAAAAGTGGATCAATTTCCTGTAGTTGCTGAAGTTGATGTGGTGAAGGTTGAAATTCTATTTCTGGCACTTCAACATCATTGTCAGAATTACAACTTGGAAGAGGGCCACCCCCTGTCCCATATCCCATCCAGTCTTCTAAGGTGGAAAAAAGGCTGTTGACAGCAGAATTATCAGAGTTAACCACAGCATTTAAACCTGAATGCCAAAGTTGTAATGGCGCTGACGTTAACAATCGTTTTAACTCATCAAATACATCGCTACACTGTTCACTCCAAACGAAGTTGGTTTCTTTTTCGATAAGCCGATGTAGTGGGCTAGCAATGTCGGCAAAGAATTTGATAAACTTTCGATAATACGAACAAAGTCCTAGAAATGCTCTCAACTCTCTTTTATTCTTGGGAACTGGCCAGGACGCAACGACTTCAATCTTACTGGGATCTGTTGAAATTCCGTTACGCGTCACGACATGTCCAAGATACAACACCTCCGTTCTGAACAACTCGCACTTTCTAGGATTTAGTTTCAGGTTAGCTGCTCGAAGGCGCGCAAATACTTCACGCAAATTGATGATCTCTTCATCAAACGTTCGCGCGTGGACCAAGATGTCATCAAGATACAAAAGGCACACGTTCCAGGGTAAACCAGCTAACACCAATTCCATTAGCCTCTCGAAAGTAGCCGGAGCATTGCACAGGCCAAAGGGCATTACAACAAACTGCCACAATCCATACCCAGTTGAAAACGCTGTCTTTTCTCTGTCGGATTCTTCAACAACAACTTGCCAATAACCACTTTTCATGTGGAGGGTTGAAAACCATACCGATCCCGCTAGCGCGTCCAACTCGGTCTCAATACGAGGAAGCGGAAACGAGTCTTTCTTCGTGATCTCATTCAACTTACGATAATCCACGCAAAACCTTTGACTACCGTCCTTTTTCTTTACCATCACAATAGGGGCACACTATGGACTAGCTGATGGTTCAATAACTCCCTGATCATGCATTTGCTTGATAGCTTCCTGTGCAATTTTCAACTTAGCAAGTGGGAGACGTCGTGGTTGCTGTTTTATTGGTCTTTGATCACCGGTCTCAAATTTTATGTGCTGTCAATGACGTTCTCCCCACATCACCAGGGCCCTCCGAGAACACGTCTTTGAACTCCACTAGCAACGAGTGTAACTTTTTCTTTTGCACATTATCAAGACCTTCCGAACTTCGAGTATACAGTTCTTTTACAACTTCTTTTAAATCACCATCTATCATAGTTTCAGTAGACATCGCTTCTTCTGGCTTTTCCACCACAGCAAGACTGTCCACGATCTCACAACTAGCCACGTTCACCCCTTTTCGGAGCTTTCTTTCCTCGTCCGACAAGTTCAGCACCCTGACCGCGACGACTGGTTTTCGCAAATCCACTACCGTTCTCGCCACAAGCACGTCGCCCGGCAATCCACGATTTCTTCTGGGACTCAACCCTCCCCATCCTTCCTCTGGTACCTCATCGCCGTCTAATACTGCCGGAATCAACGCTTCACTCTTTGGAGGAATAGACCAAGTCTCCGCAACAACGACTCGACGACATACTGGTTTCTTTGTGACTGCTGCCCGTTTCAGTCGCACTTCTTCTGCACCAATACGCAAACATGCCTCCGTCACACCGACTACGCAGTCATTTGGAGCAAGGAAATCCAAACCCAAAATGCATTTGTTTTCAATATCAGCAAACCAGACGACGTGCATAACTTTAAAGTTTCCAACTTGCAGACAAACTTTGCCACGACTTCGCACAGGCGTCGTTTCACCCGTCATCGTCCGTAAACAACTGTCAACAGCTTGTACACCTAGAACCACGTCTTTGGCAACTCGTTTCAAAACGCCCGGTCTTACAATTGTAATATTCGACCCAGTGTCAACTACCATTTCACAACATACTCCTTCAACAACACCAGATACTAACAAACTGTCCGCAACACCTTGCATTGACCCTGTTTTAACAATTATCTTCGGGACATTTTGTTTAGCTGGCCCCTGTCCCCCAGAACCAGCTACTTCTCGTTTCCCTGTCTTCCTGGATATCTTTGTGTTTCGTTCTGTCCTTTTGATTGATGACCTGATTTCAGACAATTTCTCCTAATATGGTCAAAGCTGCCACAATTCCAGCAACCAGGTTCTCTAAAAGGTCGCTTCCGTTCCTTCACTGCTTCCAGTACCCCATCTAGGCACTGCTTCATTGATTGATTTCTCCAGTCGCTCGAGAATTCGTGTCACTTGAACATTCCCCTCCTCTAGCTGGGTAACAGTTGTTGGTGGGGCCTGGCGCCTAGTGTCGTGGTCATGATTTGGTGGTGGTGATTGCATTGAATGAACAGCAGGTCATGGGTTTTTTTGAAGAAGCTCGGTTTCTCTAGCCACTCTCTGCCGTTGCCGCGCAGCGATGTTAAAAGACTCAAGTTCAAGGGGCAGCTTCCAGAGCTCTCCGCAAGGTCTGTGGTTTCTCTTGCTTGATTCGTAATCGAGTATCCTCGTCAGGTAAAGCATCTACGAACTGATCTCTTGCAAGAACATCGCGCAATGTTGGCGGTGCATCAGGGTAGGATAACCTACTCAAACGTTCAATGTCCTCGGCCAATTCCGGTAATGACTCGTCCCTCTGCTTCACTCGGTTCTTGAACTTCATTCTCGACAGTTCTGTTTGATGGCTTGTCCCAAAACGGTTTTTCAATGCGACCACCAAAACATCAAGCTTCTGGCAATCTTCTGGAGCCAAATTCCCCAACACAGCCAACGCAGGACCTTTTAAACTTGTAGCTAGATAAGCCGCTTTTTGACGATCGTTCCAGTTATTTAAAGTAGACACTATTTCGAACTGTGCATAATAAGATTCCCACAAGCCCGAACCGTCAAACGACATTGGTTTCTGCATGAGTTTACGGGAACTCTCTACGCCTGATGTTTGCACATTTGTTGAGCTAAGATGGCCCGCCAATTCGGGTTGTTGAAACGTAGGGACTTTGGGTAGAACGCATCGCTTTTCAGATGCTGGAAAGATGGGAGTTGTCCATGTATCGTCCGAAGCAGAGATACGCCCTCCTGGAGTACATTTACTTGCTTGTTCGTCATTTGGTTTTTCTAACTTTGCTTCCTTTGCATTAATTTCCTTTAATAGCTCCCTCAGGACATTTTCTTTCAAGGCCGGTACCATCTCTTTCTGCATTTGTCGAAGCCACTCACCAAATCGTTCAACGCGATCTTCTACAACGTCTAATCGAGCTTCAAAACATTCTACACCAATAGACAAAGTTTTCCGTTGCTTTTCGGTCTTCCCGAAGTCATCGTTAATGTGAGCCAGCTCTGCTTCAAGTTCTCTCTGTTTAACTTCAAGTTGAGTTTGTCGTTCACTAATTTCATATAGTTTTTGATCGACATCACCGATCAAACGTCGAATTTGGACCATTTGTTCAGCTTGAACCAGTTTCTATTCGGCTACCATCTCCATCTGCTTCCCCAACATAGCAGTCAATTCGGTAAAATTTTCATTTTCCGTCGAAAGTTGTTGTTGTTGTCGCTCAACCGTATCGTCACAAGCGACCTCTTCCTCATCTCGTCTCACTCGAGATCTTGTTTCCATAGTCTTATTGTACATATAAAAAAACAACAAACGAATCCCACCGCTGCCACCAATGTTATGCCAACGAAAACAAGATCGCTTCCACTCTTATTTACAGCCAAAACCTAACTAAAATCCCGATACAAGACTGGTTCATATCTTGTCTTTACGCCTACGTAAAATATGTCCATATTTTACAATCGCATGCGTGACTATTTAGAACAGTGATTTTACAACGTGATATATTTACAACAAACACACAACATATACAACGATTTGTTGTTTGAATGTTCTTTGTTAAGGCCAAACCACCAAAAGCGCAGCAAATGCAGCAAGTGAAATCGGAAGTGGTAAAATATCTATATATCTATAAAATTTTACAAAACATTATCTTTTACTGACAGCAACTTACCGTGCTTAACACCAACTTGGGAACATCAAAAACTCTGTTAAAACAAAAATTGCATCATCAAGTAATTCTTCTTTATATCGCCTAGCCTCTGCTTGCTCTGCGAAAGGCATGAGCGCGTTGTTATTCAGTGATATATTTGCGATCAACGGCGCATGATCATGTCGAGCCTGGAACGTTGTTATTCAGAGATATATTTGCGATCAACGGCACATGATCATGTTTGCTTACCTGCAGTCTCGATTAATGATCTGCGAATGTAATAATCAGCGATGAAATGAGGGTAAAAAAGCTAAGAAACTGGCAATCACAAAATTTTTTAACTGTTCACCAGAATGCCCGAATGGAAAAGCCGAAAAGGAAGCACATGGGAAGAAACAATATAATTATATAAAGTTGATTCACACATAGCATTGTGGGTCTATCTAATATTCGACCAAAATGCAATGCGCTAAAGCAAAATTTAAAAAATTCCCAACTTACATCAATTAGGTCTGCTGCCTTGCTAGCTCGCCCCAGGCTCGCTCGCTGCGGCAGCAATTACGCATATTTTGTCATATTTGATGCCTCATACCGGAGCACAATTATTACTCCGGCGTCAGCGACGGAGTTGAAAATTTACCTCGGTTTTGTTTTGTTTGTTTTTTGTTTTTTTATTTTATTTTTTTATTATTTTTCGTCGTCACAAGTCTGAAATGGCGCAAAATATACTAGTGTTTAAAATGTGTATGTGATTGGATTTATCTATGTCCCAGTCTTGTCTCCCAAGAGTTGTGGTGCACAGCTTTGGCTAATTTTCCGATACACGATTCGATTTCGCTCGCATGATACGGCAATTCCTAAACAAATAAACCGTTCTTTTCATGCTTTTCGATTAAGTTTAGATTGAATTGGGGTAAGAATATATTTAATACATGTAGATTCTGGTCCTATTATAGTAATATCGCTGCTATTTCGCCGTTTAACAAGATGATGTGGTCGTGTATGGGCGGTTTGACTCGTCATAGTTTGCATAGGATTGAAGATTTAATATAACTATATAAGCGCAAATTCCAAAGGCAAAGTTTAAGACAAAGCGAATGTATCATGCTGTTTATTTAGATTTTTGAACAATTGAACTTCTATACTTTTTAAAGTACAATGTGCTTCTGAATTTTGCGATCGAACAACATTTAGGTTCGCAAGGCATCTAAATGCGAATATGAACCGTATTGTTTATGTTCAGAAGCTCTATATTGAAGACTTGTGTTGATCAGAATTCGTCTGATCGTGTTGATTGATTGTGTTGATCAGAATTCGTCTGGAAATCGTGCAGAATTTATCTGGTGAAGAAATACTTCAGGTATGGCGACTTGCTATACGAATATCAACCACTTAAGTGTCGATAGCCTTGAGGTTGTATGTGATTTCTACAAAATACGAAAAGTAGTGCTTACGAAAATCATTTCCTACGATGGCAAACGGCTGAAATGGTGTGGAACGTACTGTGACCTGAAAGTTTTTGTGAAAACCGCTCTTGGTCAACAAGGCGAATGGAGTCTGCCTGGTGGCAGTTCTAAACGATTTGTCGCATTAGCCTCAGACCTTACAATTATTTGGTACCCGGGTAAGCTCAATACCATAACATTCAAAGAGGAAAATGGTATGTATGTTGGTCAAAGATTACTTAATACAGCTCTGTGAAGGCCTCCTTTTGGAAGGCGAACGAAATATTGTCGAACATGTGAATGAATGTGAAACCGACACGGATGACTTGGCTATTCAACTCGAAGCATTGAGCAGTAAGGTCGACGCAATCCAATCATTTATTAATGTAGAGGATATGCCGTTGAGTTCAACCATACAGAACCTGAAGACCGAAATAACAAAGGTTCATGCTGTCCTTGAAGAGGAGAAATCGAAAAATAATGTTTTAGAGAACCGTGTTTATCGCCTTCAAGAAGAACATAATGAAGTCAAGTCAAAACTGTCGATTAGAAACAATGAGAAAGTCAATAATCACTCCTTTGAGAACAATGAAACGCTCTCAAACAACAAACACCTGTCTACTGAAAATAATCATCAAGACAAAGAGCTCAATGAGAGTTGTTATGTAAATACAACTCCCCCTCTCGAGGAACAGTTAATAGGTACTCACCCAAAGCCATTTTTAGACCAAGGTAAAGATAATACGCGACTATTGGCCGTCTCTCCTAAAGATGATAACGACAAGCCTCGATCGAAACAAGTTATTGACCTTAACGCGACCACAGAAAATGAGGGTCTCTCCTTTAAACGCCAGTATGAGGATTATAAACAAAGACACAAGCTGAATGAACATCACATTAAAAACAGTGTAAAGTCAGGAAAACAAGTCATGTCTGCAAATCGTTCACATAAAGAAATACCTAAAGTTGATAACATGCGAATCAACCAGGTCAACGATAAAATCCGAAATGTTAATATAAACTTCGACCAGAACCAAAGACAACATATCCCTACGCGTATTACCCACCGTCCGTCAACGCGAACACAACACATTACCCGAAAGCACAAGAAAGTGCCACAAAACACACATAGACACAGAAAACAGGATTTTTGGTCAGGATCAAAACATCAACACCAAACAGATTGGCAAAACCACATACAACTGGTCCGCAAAGTCATGAACCCTTGAACGTTATACCACATCCAACTTCACATGTCATGATTGTACACCTGAACATCCGATCATTAAAAAACAAGTCCCATTTTATTGAAATCACCAATTTTATAAAGCTATACAATATTGACGTCCTTACTTTATCGGAAACATGGCTAAACACTACCACCAAAAACTATGAAATAGCTATCCAAGGTTACAACTTATTTAGATTAGATCGTTTGGGAAAAAAAGGAGGCGGTGTTTGTGCCTATATTCAGAAT